TGATAAGTGCAAAAAATCCACGAAGCAGAATCGCAAGGCTGGCCTGCTCCGGCCTCTCAGGCCACGCCACGCGGGCGCGTCTCGGTCCCCGGCCTGGCTGCAGGAAGGATAGGCGGACGGCGAGCTGCACACTCGGGCCGAAGCTGACCCCGGCTCAGCCACTGAGGCCAAGGGGGCTCGAGCGTGGTGCCCTCCCCAGACCCGAGTGCCCTCATCTCCTTGTTAACAGGAGGGGGTGACGAGGTTTCACGAGAAGCACTGGCAGGAGTGAGTGGTGACTGAGTGTGTAAGAGCTTGTCAGATGTCGGGGCCACCCCTCCTCCGTGTGCCTCCCCCCCGCACTGGGCCGGCCTGCACCCTCCTCTTCTGCCTGCAGGCCCGCCTGTCCCCGTGCCCAGGTGGCGACCTGACACCACGTTCAATTCAAGGAAGCAATAGGACCCCGTGACAGCCCAACCCTGGGGGGAGCTGTGGGGGCTGGGGGCTCGGAGGAGCACCAACCAGGGCGACTGGCTCCTCCGGGCAGGACGTCCCTGGGCGCTGGCCTTCCTGGGTCCTCTGCGTGCCAGCCCTTGAGGGCCCTCTTGTGGCAGAAGGAAGCTGGTGCTTGCAGAACAATGGGGAGCAGAAGCTGTGGGGCACAGGGGCTCCACGGACAGTGGGCTCCCTGGGCTCCCGCTCAGTGCGCGGCCACCCAAAGTGCCCATGAGGCGCAGACAGGGTTCGGGTGCCAACCAATAACACAACCCAATTCAGGCTCATGACAGAAGTCTGGAGACGGGCAGGGCTGCCTTGGTTACTGACAGGTCAGGAAGGGAGGCAGCAGAAACCCAGGCTTAGCGACTCCCCGGCATTAACAGCCCCACACCGACATAACGTCCTGCTCACCAGCCCTGTCCTGGTTGACAGCTGGGATCCCCCATAACTCCTCGTGCCTCACCCCGGGCGTGGCCCTGGAGGATGTTGGGACCATTCCAACATCCAGGAAATTCTGGATGGGCACGAGCTTCATCCCTTCTTCCACTGGGATCTGAGCACAGTGGTGCCGCCTGCACCCCACCCTGCCCCAGGGGATGCCTGCACCCCACCCTGCCTCAGGAGCCACCTGTGCCCCGCCCTGCCCCAGGGGGTCACCTGCACCCCACCCTTCCCCAGGGGGACGCCTGCGCCCCACCCTGCCCCAGGGGACGCCTGCGCCCCACCCTGCCTCAGGGGATGCCTGCGCCCCACCCTGCCTCAGGGGCTCACCCTGCTCCAGGGGACGCCTGCACCCCACCCTGCCTCAGGGGCCACCTATGCCCTGTCCTGCCCCAGGGGTCACCTGCACCCCACCCTGCTCCAGGGGACGCCTGTGCCCCGCCTGCCCCTCGCCTGCCTTCCCAGCTGTGGACTCCCGTCGACCACACGTGCAGCGCTGACCGAGCTGGCCCGCGGCCAGTTCTGAGGGTGGCGCTGCTGCCCCGTCACGATCATTTCAGGTGGGCCTGTGACTCACCAGGTTCAGAACCGGGCTTCACGTCTGCCACGTGTTGACGGTGCCTTCATTCTGTTTTGGGTGTGATGGACCTGGTTCCCCGCTGAAGGTTCCACTGCTCTTGGGACGTCCCCCAGCAGGGACCTGGCAAAGCGACTGCCTTGGTTAGCACTCCTCTGCAGTGGCCGGGAGGGACGGCCGGGGACAGGGATAGGGCCAGGGATAGGGCCAGGCTTCCTTAGAAGTGCGCCAGAAAGTAGGAGCCTTCAGGTGACAATGACACCAGCCCGTGGAGGGAAAACTTGGGGAACTGAGGCTGCAGTCAGAGAGCGAGGCTGCCGGCTCGTGGGGGCTTCCAAGGGGGAGCTCAGTGCACTTGTTCCCCAGGGAGCGGAACATTCTAGAAAGGAAGCCTGCGTGGGGCAGTCACTTCAACTGGCTGCATGCCCTGGAGGGGCCCCACGGGGGAAGGGGGCCACGTGAGCCCGCCCTCCTTCTCGACTCTGGCCCTGGGGAGAGCTGGGACCATGGCCCTCCATCTGGCCAGCGGCTCCCGTTCTAAGCCTGTGCCAGCGGGGCCGGCGACTCTGGCCCCGGGGAGAGCTGGGACCAGCGGCCCTCCATCTGGCCGGCGGCTCCCGTTCTAAGCCTGTGCCAGCGGGGCCGGTGCTGTGGGCACGTGGCCGGCGCAGCGGGTCGGAGGCTCGGCGGTGGCCATGCTGAGATTCTGAATACCGTCGTCCACGCATCGTGGTTTGTCCGTGAAGTCGGGGGGACAGTGGAGCAGGTACGAGGGGACCGAAGCCTTGGCACCCCTGGATCCCACCTCCTCCAGCAGAAGAAGGGAAAACGCTTTCTATTTCAGTGCCTGGAACAGCACTTGTCCCCGCGTTTTGAACGAGGGGCCGTGTCCTCTGGCACTGAGCCCTGACTGGAGACACAGAAGCCCGCGGCTTGGCGGCCTGCGCTGGGGCCGCCTGCACGTCCACTAGGCAGGTCCCAGGAGTCCTGGGCGCCAGGTCAGGCCACTGAGGCCCCTTGGGGCCACTCCACAGGACTCATTATGTGAGCAATTCACAGCGGCCCCTGCATACACGGCCATACGTGGCCAGCCTCCAAGCCATGTGCCCTGCGGCGACCCCCAGCCACAGGGCCAGCACTGCCCCCTCCCCGGTCCGCCCCTACTCAGGGGTGGTCCTCGGCCAGGCCGGTCTCCTCCTCCACGATCGCGCATCCGGGAACCTCCACGGCAGTCTCGCAGGTTTTGTCCATTGACTCCAACGAGAAATGAGGACTCCTGCTTTTTTTCCCAGTAATTTATTTTTATGGGTTTTACAGCTGGTGATTGGAGGGATGGCCCTGGTTTTTCACTGTGAGCGTGATGTTTTCTTCCTTTGTGATTGGAGGGCTGTGATCCCACCCTTGGCTCTTTGCCTGTCCCAGTCCCCAGCTTGCATTTCAATCATCCTGGGCACTTTGTGTGGATTTGAATAGGAAAATCTTAGTGACATACAAATTCATGGGACGCAAAGTCACATTTCCATATGAATGCAAGCATCTCAGCTACTCCTCCAGATGAAGCGTTTTTATATTCCAATCATACCCTTTTTTCCTTAAAAGTCACGATGAAATCCTCCATTCATGGGTTGAGAATGGATTTCAGCTGAAGTGCTTTAAGAAACAGCTGTGTGTACCCGTCACTTTCAAAAAAGGGTTGTTAGTAGAGGCGGCCCAGGGGTGGGCAGCCCCCAGCCCCTGGTCCCTGCCTGTGGTTCTGGGAGCCTGTCTTCAATGCTTTAGCCCTGAGTTGGGAAAATGACCGTCACCATGTCAAGCTGCCTGTCGCTGAACCACAGGAGACGGTGGCTCTTCTTGGGGAAGGTGCAAACAGGAGGGGGCTAAGTTAACGTCGGCCCCAGGCATCCGAGCGATCCAGCCAAAGAGAGAAGCATCTGCGGAGGCCGGAGCTGTGGGTTCCAAAGAGTGACTACAAAGCACTCTCTGGGCGATGCCCGCCGGTCATCCACTCAATTCGAGAGTGAACACTGAGCAGGGCAAAGGCTGCGAGGGAGCGAGGGGCCTGTAGGGCGGACCAGCTGGGCCACCGTCACCCTGGGGCCGGGTGGGGAAGGGGGAAGGCCCCGCCCCAGGGAGCCAGGGGCAGGGAGGGCGGGGAAGGGGCGCCCTCGGCCTGCGGGCTGGAGGCAGAGGAGGGGGCTGGACACGGAAGGGAAAAGCGGGATCCGAGTGAATCACGTGGGGAGGAAACTGTCCTAGACCCGCTTGGGGTTTATGCACCTTGCATTTTTCGCAGCAGGAAACTTTAAAAACGTGTAACTTCTGTCACAAGCAAGCCTGCCCGTGAGGACGACCGCTGCTCCGGAGGCCGTCATGTCAACTAGCTTCCCTGGGGAGGTGCGGGGCCCTCGTAGGAGGGGGACCCGCGGCCACACCCCGGCCACCACCCCTCTCCCTGGGAAGGGGCGGCAGGGTGCTTGCTCCTCGGCTCGGGAGGTGCTGGCACGTGGCGCCGTCTCAGAGAAGCGCGCAGCCACGCGCACCCGGAGGCCGCCCCCTGGAGTGAGGACACCTGCGCTGCCCTGTGCGAGGTCAAGTGCAGCCCTGCTCCTCCCGAGCCTGTGGCATTTCATGGTCAAGGACAAATCCTGGGATAGTCCTTAAACTGCAGGATTTGAAAAACGCCCAGACGCTGTTTGCGGGGCCTGAGGGCGGCCCCGGTGCGGGCGGGGGGCTGCCCGGGCAGGCGGCCTCCACTGCGGAGGGGCCTCAGCGTCGGCTGCCACGCGCGGCCCGCGCCTCGCTCACGGATGAGGACACGCGGTTCTAGCTGGGGGTTCTTTTTTCTTTTCTTTTTTTTCTTCAAATAATGAGACCACGAGCAGGAATAACAACATTCTTCTGGAAATTTTTTTAAACACTCTATTTCCGAGAACAGACACGGAGTTCGTTAGGCAGCAAACAAGGGAACATGGCCAGGGGACAATCACCGTCTCAATAAATAACCGACGCCGCGGAAGCTTCCGAACCCCGACA